GAAGTCTGTTGACCGTAGTTCACACCTCGGGTTTCTTTAGTTTTGTTTCATTAAAATATAAGGGTTTTGGTAGAAAAAGCAAGCACAAATCTCGGATAAATTGATTTGTCTTTTGTCAAAGACACCATATAATTTTTCTGGATTCAGGATTTTTTATTTTTTATGTTATTTTTATTACCATTCTCTCCCTTTTTCTTTCTTTCTCATTCAATGCGGCCCGAGTTCGAGTCCTGCCGATCTCGATGTCGTACGGAGTAGAGTTGTTTGTTGGTTCTCTTCTGTGCTTCGAGGGTTTTTCTCCGGGTTCTCCGGTTTTCCTCCCTCCACAAAAATCAAGTACTAAATTCTAATTCGATCTTTGGGCTTTCACCTAGTTTGGAACCTAGCTCTGTTGTGATTGCCCCACGCTGTGATACAACAGCTAAAGCTAGTAGATTTTTTTATTAATTCATTCACTTTCTCTCCTCTTTCTGTTTTTCTCTATATTTTTACCACTTCGTCTTCTCTTTTTCTCTCTATTTGATTATCCGAAACTCACCCCATCGCACTATTTCTTAGTAAAATTGCATTATTACGCGTTCCCGTTCTCTACTGATAAGTCAGTGGAAAACGAAGTGCGCAAGCTTCTCGGAAGTCGACAATCTCGTACCCAGAGCCTGCGTTTCTTCTGGCCTGCGGCGAAGAACGAGGGCTCTGGCATAATCCATATTTTGGCGCATGCGCAATTTTCGAAAAGTGATATATAACCAATCAAAATAATCAAAGTAAATWTYAAATYAAAGAAAAARWAACAAAGTAAAAATCAAAGTAAAGATCATAGTAAAAATTTGAAATCGGGAAAATATTTTTTAATTTTTGGCAAGTCTTTGAACACATGCGCTGTTATACCGGAAGTCCAAGAAACCCTGGTCTCAAAAAATGGATTATGCCAGAGCCCTCGTTCTTCGCCGCAGGCCAGAAGAAACGCAGGCTCTGGGTACGAGATTGGGAAGTCGATTTTTTCCCCAACTGAACCGATGACTGCGCATAATTTGAAGCACCTGACCGCTGTGCTATAGTTTCACTTGGCGAGCAAATGGTTACATCAGTTACTACCAGTATCTGCTAACTCTCTTGTGTACTTAATATTATACCTTCCCTTATGCATTTATATTTCTATCAGAGGTATATATGTATCTTATCTTTTGGGTTTGTTTATCTTCTAACTACCTTTCAGCACCTTTCCTAACCAATTCTATATTTCTTCCTTTCTTCTTTCTCTTACCAAACCTTCAATTAGTGTTTATCAAGCCCTTGAAAACCGATAAGGATCATCAGTCATGTTTGACACTCACTGCGTGTTTGTTCAGAACTATTTTCTAACAAAACAGTGTGTTTATTCTCTGATGTTTTTGTAAAGAACAATTTTTGTAAGATTCAGGGTTTTGTTGAATAGCTGATTCCGAGATTACTTGTTGTGCTCTAAGCTTCGTTTATTCAGTCCACCTGGTAGCTTCTGGCGTACTTCAACAGTTCTCGTTTGAGGTAAGGAGTTGTTTCAGCCAAAGGTATTTCAGAGCAATGAAATGTAAATATTTCCCTAGAAAATATTTTTTCAAGAGTTCGAAGATGGATTTTACTTTTGAGATTATTTAAATTATATGCAGTTACCCAAAAGTAAGATAAAGAAGATGTAAAACTCATGCCCGTGAAGTATTCTCAATAAAATTTCAAAAAAAAAAAAAAATTTAAAATAGACTTTTGTTAATTGAAATTCCACTGAAGGGGACGATAGCCAGTCTGTGGGTTGTCTTACCTAGGTATATTGTCGAATATTTTTTTCAATAAAACATCTTTATTTAGTATTTTCTTACCAACACATTCGACGCTTCATAAGCAATTTTTAATAATATCCTATCTAGCGAGATATCTTAAATTAGATTATTTCCAACGAGGTAAATCATTATCTGCTTGTGTATTGGTATGCGTGAAGGTCGACAAATGTTATTAATTCGATAAGATCGATCGTGGTCCCGCAGAGAGAGAGGTGCCAGCTCTCTGAGTATTTAACCACTACACTGACTATACTGAATATCATTATGACTGCATATTACCAGTAATTTAGATGACACTCGGAAGTTATTCGTAATTGGGAAATTTGTCGTTAAGGTGCAAGCTGTTTAATAAATCGATGGTTTAGCGCTTCGTCGTCGAGTTGTCAGCTGAAGTAAAATTATAAAGCTATCTTCTGGTTACTTGTCATTTAACTAGGCTAATAAATGTTTAATTACTTCAGTAAACTGATGGAATTGTGCCTCTGAAAAACAGAAAATTAAAACACTATCTTCAGGGTGTATGTGGTGGTTGCTTCTTGTAGATAAAGATGTCTAGCAAAGCCAACTGTTTTACGGCAACACGCAAACAAAATCATTTGATACTGCAAAAATAACTGACCTTAGCATAAAAATGGCTCGTAAGAGAAGTACTTTATCAAAAACTGTACTACAAGGATACATTGTGCTAAGTTTTATTGGATTTGTTGTGTTTTTTTCCCGCCCAAAAAGATGGGAGCAACTATTGGAGAGATAATATAATGAAATGTATTGTGATTATTTTCCAAAAGATATTTTTACTCGTAGGTAAATCTATTTATTTACATCTCGAGAAAACCCATTATTTCGCGAGAAACTAGCTAAAATGAGTGATTTCTTTTTGAAAAATAATATTGTGATATGGTTATATATTGAGAAAAAGTGATTTGCAAACAATACAATAATTTGTAAACATTACACTTATTCATGTTGAGAAAGGATATTTAATATTGATTTTTTTTTTTTTTTTTTTTTTTTTTT